ATCTCTGATTCAGTTTATTATGTGAACCATATTTCTTTTATCTTCTCTGTGTATAAACTTATGTCATGAAATCATAGAAAATGAGGGTTGGAAGGCACCTCAGGAGGTCATCTAGTCCGATCCACTGCTCAAGGCAGGACCATCCCCAATTATATCATCACAGCCAAGGCTGTGTCAGGATCAGAGTAAAAAATGGAGTTTTTGCTACTAGAAATTAATTAGTACAAGGATTCTCTAAATCTTTCTTGGTGTAGACTGACATCTGTTTAAGGATTATATTTTTCTTTTTTGTTGTGAATACTCCTGTTTACAATTACATAAGCCACCTTATATTTAGAAAACCCCTATGACAAATACTTGTACATGCAAGCAGTGGTTGTAATATCAGGAAATTCTATTTGGCAGCTGGAAATAGTGAGGCACTAGTACCATGTTGTCACAACCCAAAGTTGTGGTTTTTTTTGTTTGTGTGTGCTTCGGCACCGCTAAATTATGTTCCCGCTAAATTGCAGCTCCTTTGCACGGTGGAGTGTTCTGCTGCAATAGGAGAACCCGCGTGCAAAAGAGTATTTCCCGCCGTTTGTAGCCTTCTTTGCATGGTGCATTTCTTTTGCATCATGGTGATGCACAGTGCAAAGGAGTTCCCGCCATTTGTATTTAGATTTGTGCCACATTATTGGCCGGTTCCAAATTATGCATATGTGGCGGCTAGCTATTGGCTTGCTAGCCGTATAAAGAACTTGGGTGGTTTCCGCCCAAGCCGGAGAGAGAGACGGAGAGAGAGAGGAAAGGAGCGTAAAGATCTCTAAGTGCTGCTAATTCCTTCGAACCCAACACGTCTCTCTTAAGAAGGCAATAGAGGCTTAATTACTGAACCGAACCCGAGAAGCCTTAATAACTCCGGGGCCCAATTACCGAACGGCCTCTAGCCTCTCCCCATCGCCGAGCTCAATCCTAGATGTATCCCTATCCTATATACCGAATTTTCAAACCCACGGAGTCTTAACAGCTCTGGGGGACCTGGGAACCGAACAGAACCCATGGAGATTCAGCTACTCCGTGAGGAAAGAATTGCTGAACCCGCGGAGCCTAAACCACTCCAGGGTCAAAGAACTGAGTTTGTCAGAGTCCTCCAACGAGGATTCAAGCGGAGCTGCGCCTGGAAAGCTGTCCAGCCTACACCGCGACCATCTTCGGTGTAAGTAAATAATCTTTTCAATCGACCATTACGCCTCCGTAACTGATTCTAGCACTTGCGTACCATACCGCCCCGCGGTTTTCTCCGGCCCCGCGTGCCCAGGCTGCTGGCCACAGCCTGCGTGCACAAAGACGGGCCCGGCTCGCACACGGCAAGGACGGGATCGGGAGCTGGCCCGCACACATGTGAGAAACAAGTACTCTGCAAACCATCTCAGTCTCTGAAACTATCATTTTTTAGAACATTGTTTACAATTAACTAAACCAAATGATCTTGGGTCATGAATTGTATCTTTCTTATGTTTTTAAAGGAGTCGAACACATTGAGACTTAATAAACTGAAGAGCAAATTTCCTTGATAGTTTATGGTAGCGTAAGAGTTATGATGTAGTCATGATGGTCCATAAATTATGTGAGGGGCAAGGATTTCTTAGGGTGATATTTTTTTATAGGACCACCTGTCAGGGGTAGGCAGTTATTTTGGTTGGTGGGCCACTTAACGTGTTTTGGTGGGCTGTCAAGGGCTGCACGCACAAAAGATTTCAGATGATATAATTTAACAAATTATAGATTTATAAAAAAATCATATACTGAAAATCAATGATCTACTATAACATACTTAATTATATTTAAAAAAATATTTTCTGTCCTGATTTATGTTTGCTTTTTTTTAATAGTGTATATAGAGGCAATTGCATAATAGCTCAAAATAAAGTCTTACTCTTGTATATTGTGTGGTGGGGTAAGTGTGTGGGTGTTTGTGCGGGGGCAGGGGGCAAGGCTGTGCGCATGTGGGAGAAAAAACATTTAAAGCTGTGTCTATGTCCAAATCCGAATCTTTCCGAATCGATTCAGAGGGTTCCGATTTTGATTTGAAGAGCTTAAAGGGTCCTTTGATTCAGTTGGGAGATTCAGCCACTGAATTGGGCTGAATCTCCATTGAATTGAATCGCGGACCAAAGCTTCGCACAGCGCTACTGCTCAGCTCTCCCTGCCTCCAGCAGCTCTTCCTCCTCCTCCTGCCCCTAATGTGCTGTTCCAGGCAGGGGGGAAACTGCAGCTGGGTGGCTCCTGCTCCATCTTGTTGGACTCTGGCTCTAGCTCCTGGCCACCTTCTACTCATTTGGTTGCCCAAAGGTGGCTGCTTGTTGTGCTGGGAGGGCAGAGTTGCTGGAAGGTGTCCAGGAGCTGGAGCTCTGTGCGCTGGGGCAGGAGCTGCTTGGCTGCGGTTTCCCCCTGCCTGGAGTAGTTCAGGAGGAGGAGCCACTGGAGGCAGGGGGAGTCGAGCAGTGCTTGTGCAGCTGCAGCAGCAGTGTTGTGTGTGCTGGCCGGAACTGGAGCTGGGCAGGTGTGGGTGGGAGTGTGGTGTGGGCTGCCCCAGGCAGGAGCAAGCAAGGCTCAGCTTCATGCAGAGTACTGTGGGAGCAGCTGCGGGCCGGATACAGTCAATTGGCAGGCAGTATATTGCCCACTCCTTAACTGTGTAGTTGCAATTAAAGTTAGGCTTTCCAGTGCAAGGCATTCTTCTTTGCATTTGAAGCATGCCTTGCATTCAGCAGCTTGTCTAACTATCCCAACTGCGTAGTTGGTTCAATAAAAGATACCACCCTAAGAAATTTCTACCTCTTGACAGTTTATTATACCAATTCCACAAGTTTCAGATGACTATTTGTCTGCTTATCTTGTGGGGCTGAGTATCAACTTTTTCTTTTTTCAACAATCCCATACTTTATTTTTTTCAAGAATCCCAAACTCTATTAAAAACCATTGGTGCTAGCTTATACATAAGAAGCACTCCATTACTCTTGTGCTTGTACCCTGTAAGTACCAGGATAATCAATCTGAATTTCAGATTTCAGGTTAGGATTTGTGCCATTAAAGGATCTTTTGTTTGATATTGTTGTTTGGTGTTATGGCAATGTAAGATGTTTTGTTTTGCACATAAAGCTGGACCTTCCACTTTATGAAGTTTCCAGCCTCTATGGGATCTGGTAGCAGCAGAATGTAGCTCTTAGTAAATTCAGTCAGCCAGCATAATCTGCTTCAGTAGATATTTGAAACATTTTTTATGTTAATTTGCACCTTATCAAGAGTGTGTTTGTGAAA